TCACATCTACAGTTGGCATTCAATTTGGCACCGTCTTCTGAAGGTGACTCTGACATTGCTTTATTAGTGTTGGTAGGCAAACCCAGTTCAAAAGACGAAGGATTTTAATTTTCACTGACTGGATACTGTGTCAAAATGTCAATTACTGTGGGCTGACAAATTATAGAGAATGACAATTGGAGAGGTGCCAAAACCGCGATGACTTTGATGTCTACCCAATCCCAAGGGGTGCATGACGGCTAGTAAAGAAGTGAGGTCAGATTTGACCGAATTGGAAAGTAAAACCGTGCAAAAAAGTACACGGTAAAACGACAATTTGATGACACTTCACTCCGCAAGAAGCTGCGCAGAATTGAGATGGCATAAGAGGGGATGGGAGAAGAGCATAGTGAAAGGCGTGCAAATCTCCTCAGTGTAGAACATCGACCAGTAGTACAAAGCGATTCTCAAAGCCACATTGGCAGGTGATCCCCCAAAGCTTACGAGGTGCGTCGCTACTGTTGGAAGCATATTTAACGCTCAACTACTGTTACGGTAGACGCTACGAAAGAGTAAGCATGAGGAGCGATGAGAATGGCGCGAGAACGAGGAAACCATTCATTAGCCAGATCACACAGACTTTCTAGCCTCCTACGCCGCGCCTTCTGCACCGGTGGGCAATGGAGCCCTACCCAGACCACTCAACCGTAGGCAAAGAGACTCCCATGGTTCTCGCTAGTACTCTCTTCAATGGCTTGTTTTAAATTTAGTGTATTATAAGGGCTAGATATGTTTCAGTCCACCATTGCTAGTCCACACTCCTTCCTGGTATAGTCTAAACAGATGCTGTTTGCATAGGATTGCTCGCTATATTTACCGACTTGTGATTGGAAGAGGCATCTTTTTCTTATTAAATGTAACGTTTGCAAAGCAAACGACCAGCCCATCACTCCACCCCACACCTTTAAGGCACACACAACTTGTTCTTTGGCGCTGAAGGAATTGTGTGCCTCCTGAAGGCTGGAAAATTATGGCTAACATCTTACCATCCCATTATTGTTGTCGCTCTAAAAATACACGAACTTCTTGATTAGAATCACCTTGGAATTGGGATTATTTCCAGACTGACATGCTTCGGTGGGGTGTTTGGGGACGACACGGCCGATCCAGCCCTGCTTGCCATTCTGCTTACCTTTAAATCTGTATGCACCATAGTAGAAAGTTTGTTAAAAAGCGTAAGTAATAGCCGTTCATTAGATCCCTTCATCCAAGCCAGAGGATTAACCCTAGATTTATGTTTTGCCAGTCCAGCATCTCCAATAAAACAACCCCTTGCTTTCACAAACAATTGACATTCTAAACACATGTTTTGCTAATATGGATCCACGCACAACCAAGACTTTTTTGTTGTGAGCCTAATGCCTAAACGGTGGCGCTTTCAGAGGGACTCTCGAGGTCAGTGAAATCACAACTTTTGTATAGCCCTTTTAAAGTGTGCTAGCCTATGCAGAAGACCAGTAACGCCCTGATGCATAAATTAGGCGCAAACAATTCCACCGCCGCTCTGAGGGGGCAAATTAAGGTGGGAATTTCACGTTTTATTGTTTCCTGGTACGTTACACAAAGGAGAGACCTTCAATTAAATGATAAAAAAGGCATAAAAGCAGGAAAAAAGGATGAGAATGTAAAGACAAACCAGTGGATGCGTGGAGAGAGTGTAATCGAGGATTACGAAATTGCATAAACGAACTATAATAAGTTAATTGCTCGTTTAACTCTAGCTTTTGGTAACGGACCACACAGGGAGATCTAATACAATGCCTTCCTCGGTCGGCCTGGTCTCCAGACCATACCAATAGCCCCAAGCCCTACTGTACGTCAACAAAAATTTCATGTCTTCTTTCATCGCAGAAGTCTTGGAGCGCCACATTGGTGGAAGCAGAAAGCGAACCCACCCCTAAGGGTAGGTGCCCTGAATTCTACTGCTGGGTGATAAGCCTTAGCGTAACGGAAGGAGGGCATATGCTGCGGATGGGGAATCTGTGACGATTCCCATCAAATGGGTTGAAAATAACGTCCACCTTCAGCAACTACCCAGTCCCGTGTTCTGTAGGAAAGGTATTAAAAACAGAAACGGCACTAGCCGTGAACTAGCTGGAGAAGCTTGCTACGAAGTTGCCTACCGTATCTATTTAAAGATGTCAAAGAAGTAAACACGCGATACCTCATGCACTCTTTTACCACCTGGATGAGTTGGGAACAAAGTGGCAAGGAGAAATAGACGCGAAACCTTGCTCCTACGGAACGATGTCAGGGCTCCTAGGACTAGCGACGACATACGTGATGGCTAGTACATTCCCCAGCTCTCCTCAATACAGTTCCCATACAGGATGAAACTTCAGGGCCAGTGGAATTGTCAGGAGTGATCAGTGACGTTGCCGTCGAGTATCTCCTCGGTTGCAGGCAAATTTAATGACTGTCATGGGTGGCTGATCGGTGTTTTCTTTCAACACCGACTACGTTACGATGGCTGGCGCAAGAAGCTGACCAAAGAGAGCCCCGAGGGTGACGCTCAAAAGAGGAGAGTGACTAGGAGATACGTTGTTTATTTGTTTAACTCTCGGTTTTGGTAACGGTCCACTTGGGAGGCCACATGATTAAACCTCCACCGAGAGGCCCTGCCCTTGGGCCATTCCAGTAGCCTCAAACCCTACTGTACATCGACAATACATGTTTTCCCCGAGTTTTATGTCTTCTTTCGACTTCAAGGAAGTCTCGGGACGCTACAGTACAGCTTCACTAGTGAATTCATTTCCTGCCTTTAGCAGCATAGAGAATTAGGTAATATGTGAAATTAAATCTAATGCCTAATAAACGTACTAACTTTTTCGAGACGTATACACCTGGTAAAAAATTGCAAATATATATACTTAATTAAGCATTTCTGGCATATTCTTTACAATAGAGCGCAAAATAAAAACTCTTTAAGGCATTTTACACTGCCCAAAGACAGACAAGCATTTTTCGTGCAAATATGTAGCTGTAACCTGAAAAGTGAAGCTGACACGCGAAAGACGGTACATTCCGCAATAAAATTGGGTGCTAAGCAATTCTCAGACCCAGGAGACTGGTAGATTAAAAATAGAAGTTAAAGTGCTGTTAGCTGAAAAGTGTTCCTTAAAAGATGCTGACAAAAAAGGAAAAACA